GTGTGTGTGTGTGTGTGTGTGTGTGTGTGTGTGTGTGTGTGTTAGTATTACACAGTGTGATTTCACCACCTACTGTCAATGTCGCCTAAACTACAAAACACCCCCCACCCACACCAGTTCGATGTGATACATGGAAACGGTGCATGTTACCTGCATATGATAAGGTTTAGATCAGGCTGTCTACCAGGATTATCTCGCAGGCTTCTCTCCATTAAATTAGGCCTTGGAAGTGTTGACATGAGCGTGTATGTGACTAAATATCAGGATTAAGGTCTAAACTGAGTTGAGCTGTAAAGAAACTGTTGAGGAACCTGCAGCTCTTCACTGTCACCTCTTAATGCTGGTGACTTTAAAGCTGTTTCATGGAAAGGTGTGTCTGTTTCTTCACTTACGTTTTGCAGGTGAAAGGTCAGCAGTTGAGTTGTGTGCCATTTAAATAATGAAAGTTGTAAAGGAGCCCTCTTAAGTTTGCAAAATAAAACAAACCCACTGGAGAGAGAGCAGAGCTGCCTTTGGGTGTTTGAGGCTATTAGTGAAAAAGCAGGAATGCTGTGTGGCAATATTGGATTTCTATAAGATCAATGTGATCTAATACGGCAAAGTATTGAGCCATCAATCCATTTTCTTAACTGCTTAAAGAAATCAGCTGGGGTGGGGCTTGAGACTGTGTTTTGGCTACACAGTGACCAGGTGATCTGTCCATAACAGGACAGACACAGAGACAGACCGACTCAGTGGAACCAAAAGCCTGCGTCGTTGTTAGATTTAAAAATAATCAGCAGGGGAGTTTGACTTTTATTTAGTGTGTAAAGTCAGTGCAGCTGTTTTGGAACAGATTTGATGAGGTTATTGGATACTCCTGCGAACAGTCATCACAATACCTGGAAAGACTGTAAACTAAAGCATGAATGAGTTTCCCTGCGTGAGAAATGGTGCCATCTTTGCAACAATGAGTCACAGAAAGAAATATTTACCCGTCGGTGTTTACATCCTCATCAGATTATTTACATTCACTGACAACTGTTTGACTTCTCATTGTCTCTGCTTACAGTTAAATGTGTTCTGTGCTCTGTTTATGCATTCTTCCGCTCCTTATTGTTCTGGTTTGGTTCATTTTCTTTTGCTCTTTTTCTCTTTGTTCTTTTATCCTGCAGACGACAGTTATAGAATATGTCAAACCGTCTGATCTGAAGAAAGATATGAACGAGACTTTTAAGGAGAAGTTTCCTCACATTAAACTCACCCTCAGCAAAATCCGAAGGTAACGTTTCTCATTTCTGCCGATGAAAGGATTTCAGCACAGTAATGTGAAAAAGGGCCGACTGGATCACCATTTGGTCTTAGAGCTGAAGGAGCTCATGGGATGAGACATGAAACATCTTAAAGAAACTTAAAGCAGTCCAGTCGCTCCTTAGATTACCATGACCTGGATGACTAAGAACCTACACAGATATGTGAAAAGGGAGTATTAAATAATTAGAACATGCTTTATTTCTTTTTCAGCCTAAAGAGAGAGATGAGAATAGTCGGGGAGGACTGCGGCCTGCAGCCCGTCACCCTCGCGATGGCATACGTCTACTTTGAAAAGCTGGTGCTGCAGGGTCGCCTCAACAAGCAGAACAGGTTTGTTCGAATCTCGTCCACATGTAAACAGTTTCTGCTTCGTTCATAGGCTTCACACTCTGCTTGAAATGTTGGTTAATGACGACTGTGGATCATGTGTGACTGTTTAGCTCTGTTTATCGTTATCATAAGTGATTCTGCACCATAATTAGTCTCAGGTAGAAAATCTGATTGGTTCAAGACTTCATCACATTGTGTTCCTGTTAGAAAACGTAAAACAAGATTTGTTTGATAGCTTAAAAGGTGGATGTGCTGCAGTTTTCTGTGTGGAGTCCACAGTGTGAGGTGTGGAAGTGGCTCCCCCTTGTGTTTATTTTCAATAAGCTCGGTTTAAAAGAAAAACTTCTCACTGTTGCTGATGGTTTGTATTCTTTGATTGTGATGCACTGAACTTCAAGTCCTCACTGTCCCATAAACCACATGAAGGAAAGCTCCTGTCTCTGTTAACTGCCTGGAAAATTATTATTGAAGTGTGTGCATCATCACAGTGACATTTATAGTTATTTTATAGAGTATGTTTACATCCAACTCAAGGTCTTTAAGATCTAACTGATGACTGATTCAGTCAAAAACTGACAACAAGTCTTATAATTAGAAACTGATTGTTAACGCAAAGAAAACACCTGATAAAGACTTGATACATTATTTCAAACAAACTAAGACAATAATTCTTTTAAGAATACATGTTGTCCAGAGAGCGAGCAGTCTGCATTGTTACATTGTTACTCTGTGGCCTGATGTCCTGTCAGTTACGTAACTGTTGATGTTGTTCACAGGAAGTTGGTCTCAGCTGCATGCATCCTATTGGCAGCTAAGATCAGCAGTGACCTCAAGAAACAGGAAGTCAAACATCTAATTGACGTATGTAATACACACACACACACACACACACACACACACACACACACACACACACACACACACACACACACACACACACAGTGTCAGTGAAAAAATCTGCCTTGTGAGTCAGATCATGTTCCTCTTGCTCAGCCTCTGAGGCTTTTCTACCTGAGCAGGTGGAAAACGACCTGCTGAGTGTTCGAGCTGCAGGACTAGAGGCTGTTAATGTCCTTTATAGTCGTGTGTTGAGACCATGCAGGAGAGAATCCCTGAGGTCTGATTGAGTCCTGCATTATCACTGTATTGTATTTATGCTGCATATTCACTTTTGTCATGGCTCAAAAATATTGATTTTAATTGTTTCAGTTCTGCGACCACCAAACCAAAAACCCTGCACGTCACCACCAAGCAGACGATCGTTGCACATTTCTTTAGTTTTTATGGAGTTATGGATCTTTTTAGTTTTACCTCATTTATCATATCTAATGAAACACTGATTACAAATACAGAGCTGTGAAAAACTATTTGTCCTTTTCCTGATTTCTTTCATTTCTTTCTTTCTTTCTTTCTTTATGCTCATTTGTTACACTTTATTTTTCAGAAAATCAAAAAAAAGGCAAAGATAACCTGAGTAACTAAACTGGTGATTACATTTCTTTACATACCTGGCCCTGTGTGAAAGAGTAATTCCCCCCTTGTTAAATTATTAAATGTGATTAGGGACAGTTTTTGTAAAGCTGAGTTCAGCTACACTAAACGCACTCGGGCCTTATTACTGTTATACATGTTTAATCAAGAAATCACTAAAATAGAAGTTATCTGACAAAGTGAAACAAATGAAAAGATCTCATAAAGCGACACATCGTACCACGATCTAAAGAAACAGTGAAGTTGGAAAAGGGTTTAGAACTGTGATTTTAACAGTCGCTGACATCTATCAATGAAAGGATTACGAAGCCATTTCTCAGGCATGTGGAGAGTATGAATACCCACAAATGGAGAAAACTGTGGGCAGTTCTCAGGAGTGGCCGGCTGACCAAAAATACTCCAAGAACACATGAACAACTCATCCAGGAGGTGACAAAAGACCTTAGAACAACATCTAAAGAACTGCAGGCTTCACTTGCCTCAGTTAAGGTCAGAGGTCATGGCATGGCCATTGGTCAGAGGAAACCACTGTGACCAAAAATCACACTCATCACACTTTTGCCAAACAACATCTTGATGATTCCCACGACTTTGAGGGAAATGTTCTGTGGACAAAAGCTGAACTCTCTGAAAGGGCCGAGTCCCGTTAAAAAGTAACAAAGCATTTCAGAAAGAGAGAACATCAAACCAGCAATCAAACATGGTGGTGGTAGTGTGGAAGCTCTGGGGCTGCTTTGCCGCTTCAGGACGTGGAAGACTCGTGATAATTGATAGCCTGACAGATTTCATGGTTCTATCAGTTCATGCCCTGAAGCTCAAGCACACTTATGCTGCAGGACAATAATCAGAAACACACCAGCAAACCCATCTCTGAGCGGCTAAAAAAAAAAAAATGAAAGTTTTGAAGTTTGAAGGTGAAAGACTCGTTGGCAGTTATTGCAAACACTCAATTGCAATTCTTGCTGCGAAGAACCCTCAATAGATTAAAATAATTATTTAAAAACTGCAGTTTTTATTTAATTGGGTTCTTTTTGGCTAATAAATAAATAAAAAGAAAAAGCAAGAAATCAGGAAACAGGGTAAATACTTTTTCACAGAAGTTTAGTTAAAAAGAACGGCCAGTATAAAAATGTCAAAAGATACTATGTTTATTTTAATTTCAAGATTTAAAACTCCCACAGACGTGGAGTCAGACATGAAACGGTTTGTGTCATCAGAAAGTATTTGTTCTCTCTCACGTGCTGGTTTGTTCCTGCAGAAGCTGGAGGAGCGTTTCAGGATCAGCAGGAGGGAGCTCATATCATTCGAGTTCACCATCCTGGTCGCCCTGGAGATGGCGCTCTACCTCCCAGAGAGCAAAGTCATGCCACATTTCAGACGGTTGGTGCAGCAGCAGCAGGTATAGCAGTGCCTGGCTCAGCGGCACTGCAGCACGCTTCTCCGCCTCTGCAGAGAACCTCAGCATCTTCGAGCTCCAGCACTGTGACGGATCAGTCCTCGTGATGCCTGGCTCAAAGGCTCAGACGCCACCCAGAAATCATCCTCCTCCTTCCTGCGCACTACATCAGACTTCAGCCACGCTGTCGTGGCAGCAAACGGCTCAAAGACGTCACTGCAGAGGAAAATGTTTCCTTCCTCTCCTCCGTGAAAAACCAAAGTGATCACACACTGTGACGGTTCAATCACTGGAGGTCAAATCAAAATCAGGAAAATTCAGGTTTTCTTCCTCCAGCATTATTTTTATAGTGTAGGCCAACATAACTGTGGGTTTCAAAAATGTGCAAAAATGTACATGTAAAAAGAAAAACAAAAACAGACTGTGCACCTTGAAAAACCAAAACCAAAAGATGAAAAACAAACAAAAGACAGAGGGAGAAATTTGCTTTGAACAAAACCAGAACTGTCTGACTCTGAAAAAGCTTTTCTCTAAACTCTGTTTTTTTAGGTTCTTTATTTTAGCTTTATTAGAAATATTACGAGTAACACTGACACACATGCATCAGATAATCATATTTTTTACGGCTGAAAATAGTGCTGAGTGTTTTCAGCGACTGTAGCTCAGATATAAACCGTTACGAGGACGCTGCCAGTGACTGAAAAAGGCTGCGAGTTCTGTTTTTTAAAAAGAGCAGCAGTGTGGTTTCTTTTCTGGTTTGCTTCTGCTTTATCCTTTATCCTCATGACTTCATGCAATACATTTATTTCATGAAGTCAAATTTTTTCTTCAAGCCTGAACATGTGGCTGCTTTTGCTTCAGCCTGTATTTCTTTTGTAAGGTTTATCCTGCCCTGTAATCAGGATATTTGCTCTCAGTCTCTCTGTTTCTGTGTTGCCAGCTTTACATGCAGCGATCTCTATTTTGACTTCATGCCGTTCAGAGAGTGCAGACGTCCTTTTAAACGAAGCTGTGATGGGGGTTAGTGTTGGTACACAGAGCCTCTATAACATATGAGACAAACGCTGCTGTGATGCTCACTCGTCTCCAGAAAGGACATCAGAATGTGTCTGTCACACTAAACACGGAGCATTAACAGATACTTAAAAGTTGCAGTTCTGCAATGATCATTTACATTTTTAGCACAGATATTTCTGGAAACTGAAACTTGAGCATCTGTTTAAAGTGAAGCGCAAACACATTCATGATGTTAACAGCAGGAACTCGCTGTGGCTACTGACTTCCTTTTTCTGCACTTTTAACACTGCAGTTCCTGAGTTTCTGCTTATGAAATACCTTAGAAACACACATCGCTCAGTAGTTTTCTTTTCATTGTATCGTAAAGGGACAGATATTTAACCAAACTGAGGCCTCCAACAGGACGTCTGTTGAAGTCTGGTGTCAGGACACCAGTGGAAGATTTATAGGAGACTCATTCATGTGGACTTCATGTCCCTTTTCCAGCCTTTGTTGAAAGGAGGCTTCAGAAACACTTCCTGTTGAGCCTCAGTTGTTTTTGCACTTTGCCTTTTAGCATCACAGTCCTCAGACTTTATTTTATCACCAAGTAACAACAGTATATAATATTTTTCTACATTTAAAGTAACTTATTGTAATGATGTGTATTTAAAAACTGCCTGATAATAATTTATTACTAATAATCCTGTGGATGAAGAATCGTGTCTCCTTTGAACCTGCAGGTGTTTTATCCTCTCACCAGATAATGTTGGAAACATGATTGTTCATCCTGAGATTTCCACGTTCTTCCACTCATCTTATTTTCCTTCGTGTGTTTATGGACTTGAGTTTTATAGATGTCAGAGCAGGAGAGCCGAATGAGTTTGGACCAGGGTTCTGCTATAAGACCCCAAAGAGTTTGGATACGATCTGTTTGGTTTTTGGAAAAGCCTAAAACTTTATCTGCTCCTACCGTAGCTCTTGTTGTCCTGAATTAACCAAAGTTTGTCTTTCTAACTCGCAGTTCATGTGCTTTTAAGACTGTGTTCACCCGTAAATGTTATTTTCTAATAAGATTGGTCTGATCCCAGAGAGTGTTAATATCATGTGTAAGTGAGGTGTGTGACTGCAGCCGTGCATGTCGTGTGTGTGTTTAGTACACATGTGAAGAGCTGTGGGCAGACAGACTGCACAGCCAGTGTAACAAAGAAGAAGCAGTGAATGCTGCTTGTTAATTCAATTTGAAATCTTTGAGGTTTTTACATTTTACATTTCAATCCATCATATTTTAATTAATTTACAAACAGGA